ATCTATTTACAAACCTATCTCACTACATGACTTCATACACTGGCCGCAAACAGAGAATATTTCTGAAAGATTTTCACTCAAGTCATCAGGTCCTTTATCCTCTAAAGCGACACCATTTGATTTCAGATATGCTCGAAGTTCTCCAACCTAGTTTCAAAACAGAAAATGCTAAGCTTTATCTGTGATATCTATTATCTGCCCATACACACTTGGGCAAATTTTTACCTAGATCTAAACTATAAAGTTAATGGGTACTTTACAGTTTACCATACCCGTGTACAGTGGTGAACTTCATGTCTTTTATCTGGAACAATAACATGTGGGAGAAACGTGAAGCCAATGTCAACGCCACTTGATGCGTTGATTTGTGATAGACTGCGCGGTGATGGCGTATAAGGGGCCTGAAACTGACGTGCTATATGGCGTGGTGATGGACCGCGCTGTGATGACGTACAGTACCGTTCACGGGAAAGTTAACAGTTCCATGCGGGACGGAAATCCTGTCCCATCCCGTAGGACGGGAATTTTGTTGCGTGGGATGGGAAAGCCGTCACTTAGGAGAAAGTAACATATGTAGAAATTTGGGACAGATCAAAATATGCTATTTTGATTCAGTATGTTGTGTGTGTCAAAATGGAAAGAATAAACCACCACAACAAAGAACAAATATTAAAATTAAAGAAGGCTATAAGCAATCGGAAGTATTACGAATTTTAGAAAGCGAAGGTGTTGAGCTTTCAAGAGTAGGATTGTGGAAGTTTCTATAACGCTTTAAGCAAAACCAGACACTGTCGACGGTAGCACCCCAAAGAAAAGAAAGCGTTCCTATGGCTGTTTTGGATTTTATCAATGCGGAAATGCGCTAATAAAAGCCAATACAAGGTCGCAAGCTTTTCATTCAATTCATTCTGTCCAAACGTTTCACTGCTCTGTCTTAGTGTGTTCACATTGAAAGAAGAAAGTCTCAAAATGCTTCGTAAACTGACTAAAGAGTCTAAAGTGTTAACATACGCGGTTTCATATTTTCCCATAAACAATAGCGTGTCACGAATTGCGATAAAATATGTTGTTATGGACTCAGGGGCGGATCTAGGATTTTTCGTACCTCAGTCAAAAATTTTTTGGTGGACGGGGTATAATCGGCGCTGGGGGTGGTCGACTCCAGGCGGCGGGGGGGGGGGGGGGGGGGG